GGCATCGACTGACTGACCAACTCACTGAGCGACTGACTCGTTACTCTTACTACTCCTACTTATTATAGGTGGGAGAGTCTATTAACTATAGAATAGGTGTGTTCCACTATAACACCTTTACTACTCCAATTCGTAACTCGCATATTGGAATGATCGTCTTGATCACAACCATACATTAAATCTTCTTACAATTGAGCGTCAGTCTTTTCTTCTCGCTTTCCTTTACTGCCTAGTCTAGGATGTCCTGTAGTTTTACTTCTGTGTCTGCTATCGACACAATATCTACTTTGCGTAAATGAGAAGGGACCAGATTGTTTTGTGAAACAATGACAAATACTAAAGATGAATTCACCGAAATTTATGATTTACTATTTATTTATAAAATCATCCGAGTCCTCTCTTTTGTAAATGCTGCGTATTTTTATGGATGCGACAGTATTCTTATCTCACAACAAACGCTGTAGTATTCCCTTTCAAGTAAGGGCTCATCACCTCTGCTAGTTTACTTCACGGAGGTGCGATTAAGTCTTTTCTAACAAAGCGCCTAACACGGGGCCGGTGCAAAGGTCTCGCACCCCCCATGCTACGGTCCCCCACTCAACTGCATCTCAATTTTCATATAACCTAATTATATACAATAATGGATCATCTATATAATAAACGCCAATGTCACTATGTCACACTTTTTTAATTAAAGGGACACAATTCTCAATAGTACATCTCTTCCTTCTATATAATAAATGCCAATGTCAGTGTGTCACTGTGTCACACTTTTTCAATTAAAGGGACACAACTCTCTAATTTTCAATAGCTCATGTTACAGAAATTTGGATCCCCAATTTTTCATTACTGCGATTGTTTTCGGTGATATTTTTGTACGATACCAATTTTTATAATTTGGACATGAATTTGGGAATAATCGAAATTAATTGCAGCATCCAGCGAAAGTCAGCCATGAAATAAAAATAATTGTTTGTACGGAAAATAAGAACCTACGTACATCAAATTTTCTTTAAATTAGGTGGAATTATCGTTGAACTTTTAAAAAGTAAGCTTTATTTATACAATACTTAAATGCAGCGATCATTTTTAGAGTTCTCCTGCAGTTTATTGTTGTCTCTCACATACGGCAGAAGTATGCATCACAAAAAGAAATCTCCACCAACAGAGGACCAATCAAAAGAGTCAAGTCTGCAATGAGGTAAAGAATGTTCCGTGCAAATGAGAACCCAGATCAAACTGCAACCAGGAGAGCTTTCAATATACAGAAACTTAGGGACCCTCAAACTCTTGGACAAGCCGAAGCCCCAATCAAAACCCTACCGTAGGCGCCAGCTTAAATGCTGCCCGATAGCTAGTTTGCAATACAGGAGAACACTTCAACTAGAAAAATTGAAAATAAATAAAATGTATGTCAATACAAATTAAAGACATGTCATAATAGATCATACCATCTTAAATTAATGTTTTGCGGCAATTTTTAACATCAACTTGTGATTTTTCTTGTTAAAACAGTTTAATAATTTAACGCATTCAACATTATGGATAAAAATTGTTAAATTTATATACTGTTTTTACGTGTCTTATCATGAGCAGAAAGAATGCACAGATATGGACGGAAAGAACGACTCTAGAATGATGTCAAAATCTGCAAAAAATGTTTCACCCTTTAATAGTCAGTTGTGGTAAGTTTAATTTGTAACGTATATAAATGTAGGTAGAAAAAGTAAATGTTGATAAGATAGCGAGGGTCACAAAGCACAGCCTGGGACCCCCAACTAGGCTACCACCAGTCGGAGGGGTCGAGAGTGGTACGCGCCAGTATAATGAAGGTCGCGTTGAATGGACACGCTTCCAGTTCATTTCATATTAATGTAATGTCCCCAGGGCTCTATCCTTGGATCTACGCTGTTTCTGAACTTCATCAATGACCTTCCCGATGTCATCAGTTTCTAGGTTTTTATGCAGATAACACAACTATTTACTCTGTCCGATAGATCCGACAAGGTAAAGCTGGCAACTGCTTACGAAAAAGACCTCCAATCAGTGGTTAACTGGGGCAAAGAATGGCTTGTAAATTTTAACACCTCCAAAAGAAAACTACTTTCATTTCATCACCACAAAGAACGTTTTCTACCTGCCATTAGGAGAGCAACTCTTTTGGGTCCACGTTTTCCAATGAGATGTAGTGGAGTGATTATATTGAATCAATTGATACGTCTGAAAATTGGTTCATTGTGTCGTGCCAGACAGTTTTTCGCAACAGAATGTTTCTGAATCTACCATTCTTCTGTGTATTGACTATTGTTGCCGTTTCTGGTCCGGTGATCCTGCTATTTTCGAGATTCTTGAAAAAATTCAGAGATGGGTCAGTAATGTAGTCGATTCAACTGATCTCACCTTCACCTCCGTGACGTGCGTTCCTTCAGTCTTTCTGTAGTTGGAGATTTGTCTTCAGCTGGGCTGGTTAAGCTCTCTCTGCCTCCTGGCAGAGAGCATCCCCAGATGTGGCTATGCCGAAGGGCAGAGTCTTGTCTCGGGAAACACCTACCCGTTTTATACGAGGTCTACGGGGAATTTTTGGCTGAGCCTACGGGCTTGGGTACCCCACATTAAATTCGGCCTTGTGCTACATCTGACCGCGTGGGGTGGTTGGTAGATATTGTCTTTCTGCAAATATTTTCATAGAAAATTTTCTGGTGAGCTGTTCTTTTTAATTCCTTAACTGCGTGCATTTATTAGACTGACAACTATGTTTCACCGCTTTACCACTGAACTAGCTAGATATAACCGTCAGTCTTATTTTAATAGTTTCTTTTCTCACACTTCTCATCTGTGGAACTGCCAATTTCTTGCTTCCCTGCCACGTACAATTGTCAAAAATTTAAATGGAATGTCAATCGCCATCTTCTGTCTTTTTGAATTCTGTTCCTTCCTTTTCCTCACTAAAGTCTTCCCATTCTCTTTCAATCTCTGTAACCTCCTGCGTCTTAGTGTCATTATCGCCTTACTTGGGGTGAAATGATTAAAAAAGCAATGACAAGTGCAAAAATGTGCAGAAATCTATGTCGTACAATTTCTTCAATAAGGCTAATACGATCTGCTATCGATAATATTTATTGTAAATAAATTGATGATCATCTAGCGATTGTATTTGTCGTTATAAGTTTGTCCAGAATTTCAGGTTTTATCTTTTCCAGCTGCGATGAATGGCTGCACTCTCACTGCTTTGAGCGCCTATTTGGATTCAAATGGAATTTATATATACAATCTATCGCTAAAGATGCTGATATAAAAATGTTCGGCTCTTTGTACTGTTCTAAAAAGTAAATGATTCCTTCTTCCATGCTCTGCCTTTACAAGTCAGATCAAATCAAAAATTGAGTATTGCTACCATATTTGTGTTTGAGCTGCCGAATTCTCACATTCCAGCCTTGACAGGATTCAAAATTGTTTACGTGGCCTTGTGAGTAATTACTTATTTTCCACACAGACACAACTTTGCAAGCCTATCGCTACTCTATCGCTATCTCCATGGTAAATGTTCGGAGGTGTTCCATTCTTTATTTCCGCCAGTTCATACTTTTATCAGTCAGCTACGCCCACATGGTTGAATCACCCATTCTCAGCGTATTTATTTGATAAGAAGAGCGACTCACTCAAAAGGCCTTTTCATGAGTATCGCTGCTTTCTGGTATAGGTTTTCAAGTGGATGCTTCTCAGAAAACTACAGTCTAAACCCCGTTAAGTCTAGGGTTAATATTTATCTATCTGCTATATCCTCATAATCTTCACTTCCTACCTCCTCCTCTTTCAGACCTCATTTAATAAACCTCTACATTGTGTAGCTCTTATCTCACAAATGGAATACGAAGGGGATGGGCGTGTCACTGAAATTTGTATAGCATAGCGGGTCTTAACCGTCAAGGTTAGAACGGGAAATATGGAATGTAGTTCATCTGAACACTTTTCATGGAAATAGCAATAGAAAAGTGATGTGAATGTATTTGGTTGTTCATTTAGAGATTCACTTGTATGGTCTGGATGTATAGGTAGGTGATACCTGGAACAACTTCTACTTCTGCCAAGACAGACTAAATGATCAGCTTTTCTCTTCAATCACCAAGAACACTCTCCTACTACCCCTGTGCCCTTCTGACCCAGATAAAATCATTTACCGTCCATTTCTATGTTGGTGTCCTGATTCAGTTGTGTAAAAAGACCTATAGTGTCATAGCCACACTCATTAGGGACATCTAAAAAATAAATGGCTTGAAATCCATGGCCTTCTTGTAGTATTTTTTTTTCTCCACAGTTTTATATTGTGACCAGTGAATATGTCCCTCTCATTTTGTGGATACTCTCCATGGAAGAGCAAGAGGCTTTCGATGTTTCGTCTATGAGAAAGGGGTTGTAGGGTGGATAATAATTTGTCACCCACAAGGATGCGGAGATGCTTTTGGACACTATCAAGACTGAAAAGTGAGGACTGGGCAGCTCCTGTCCATATATAGCAGCAGTATTCCATTGTGAGAAACTCCAAGCTCTCTGTCAAGACAAATATAGCAGCCTACAATGCCTGCTTCATGAGCACACTTCTCTACGGGAGCGAGACATGGACGACATATGTCAAGCAGGAGAAGAAACTGAACACTTTTCATTTGATGTGTATCCGCCGCATCCTGGGCATATCGTAGAAGGACAAAGTGCCCAACACCGAAGTTCTGTCTCGCGTCGGCCTAACAACCATGTTCACTCTGTTCAGACAGCGCAGGCTCCGATGTTTGGGTCATGTTCATCGTATGGAGGATGGCCGAATTCCCAAAGACATCCTCTGCGTGAAACTTGCAAATGGCAAAAGAGACACCGGTCGCACTCAGTTGCGCTACAGAGATGTCTGTAAGAGGGACGTGAAGGCCCTTGAGATCAACAGTGACCACTGGGAGGACCTTTTTGCAGGCCATGTTGGGTAGAGAAGCACTCTGACTAAACAACTAATCTCAGGAGAGGAGAAACTGAACAACGCAAGAAGATAGATAGATAGATAGATAGAACAGACGATTGATGGATAAATTGATAGATATGAACATAGATAGATAGATAGGAAGAAACGAACAGACTGAGATAGATGAGATATGAAGACTGAGAGAGAAAAGAACGCTGCAGCATAGACAAGACACAGACAATTCACAGGGATGACTTGTGTGACAGAGACTGCCAGTCGCGCATCGGCCCGTTCAGCTATAGGCGGCGATGTTCCAGAAGAGCAGATATATATGATGAAATCCATGGTCATTGATTACAGGTGGAGGCCTATAAAATACAACTTCATTTTAGGCCTGATTTGTCTCTTTTGGAGGATAGCACGAGGAGCTGTCCAAGGTATCGACCATTTTACCAGCATCTTTAGCGATGGATCGTATGTACGAAATCCACTTGTGGTTTGGGTTGAGATTAAGTCCCAAGAGGCACTCAAGGCTGAGGAAACTTTCATTCATCGTTATTGGTAATAGTTCAGGGTAAGATCGGCGATGATGAAATGTAACTCTTTAAATTTTCGAGGCACTGAATGTAACACTGAATTTAACATTGAAAGTACTACATTGGCGGCAAGGTCTCATCAATTTAAAATTGGAATGGATAGATGTAACTGTAATTCCTATGCTATTAGTTTCTTTCTCTCACACTTCTCGCTTGTGGAACACTATTCTGGTTTTTCGCTTGCCAGTCAACTTTGATCTTCAAAAATTTAAATGCAATGTCAATCGTTATCTTCTGTCTTCTTAATTTTTATGCTTTTATTGTCCTCTCTCTTTAGTGGTTTTTCTCATATTTTCTAACACTTTGTAATCTCTTGCGTCTTTATTGCCTTGCTTGGGGGTGAAATGATTTAAAAAAAAACAGCCAGTCGCCCCCCCCCCCCGAGATGAGCTTGGTCAGAGGAGAAATTAGCTGCCAATTTCTGTTCATTTAGAGTTTTCGATGTGCACCCATATACTTCAACGTATATATTCACAAATGATTGGAGTATACTCTCAGGCAGACCATTTATGTAAAGTAAAAATATGGTTGCCCCGAGAAGCGCGAATTAAAAGTTAAAACTTTTAGTAAATTATATTATAAATTAAACTGACATGCAGACTTAGATAGTAATCACTTTTGATATTTCTTAGTAACCTCTGCTTAACCTCAATAAGCCCTTGCAAATTATTTTTCTCATTAGTGTACTGCAGACTAATAAACCCCGCATCTCCCAGAGGGGTCAGTAAATTTTATTTTATCTTTTATTACTCCATTATATTTCTCCTCATTACTACATCATTTGAATCAACACGCAACAATGAAAAAGACATATAAAGTGTTTAAATATAAAACTATAAGATATTTTATTTTTGTGTTTTTTCTTAGCGTGTAAAAGTGTTAAAGTTCTTACAGTCCTTGTTTGTAGTTGTTCGTTAAGATGAAAAGAAATATGATTTCTTCGTCTGTATTTATGAGAAAGAAAGAAGCAAGGGAGAAATGGAGGAGGAACGTGTAAGTGTCACGTAGCTTGGCGAGGAAGACAGGTGAATAAGTAAGGGAGTTTCTTTTAAGCTGATGCGTCGTGAAACTGTTGCAGTTTGTATCTCCTTACTGGCTTGTCTGGTCTAGAAACTTTGCTTAAATACCCTTCAAAGGGATCACGAAGTATTATTTTTATGGTGGGAACATGACTCGTTGGATGAAAAACGTTAGATATTTATTTTCAAAGCATTAATTTATTCAGAAGGATGCCCGAATCCCCTGACTCAGAAATCATTTTTCTAACTATAGCATACACTCGTGGCCTTTCGTGACATACACAAAGTTCATAAGATACCAGTAAACGTGTGCTTCGCTGTGAAGGGATGGGTTCAATCCTTACTGAGCGCCCTACGGTTTTGACTTTTACGACTAAACTGAGTAAATACGAGAAGAGAGAGATACGAACAGACTGAAATACATAGATACCAAAAGATTTACCAACAGATTGAGATAGATAGATAGATAGATAGATAGATAGATAGATAGATAGATAGATACGAAGAGACTGAGATAGGTGGATAAATAGATACGAACAGACTGGGATAGATAGATAGATAGATAGATAGATAGATAGATAGATAGATAGATAGATAGATAGATACGAAGAGACTGTGATAGGTGGATAAATAGATACGAAGAGACTGGGATAGATAGATAGATAGATAGATAGATAGATAGATAGATAGATAGATAGATAGATAGATAGATAGATACGAAGAGACTGAGATAGGTGGATAAATAGATACGAACAGACTGGTATAGATAGATAGATAGATAGATAGATAGATAGATACAGACTGGTATCGATAGATAGATATGAACAGACTGAGATATAGAGAAACAGATAATTGTGAACATACTAAGAAAGAAAGAAAGATGAACAGACTGAGAATTGTAGATGTTATACTCACGTGCTGGCATGACTCTTGAAGCACGCGCGCGCGCACACACACACACGCACACAATTCAATTACCTAATGTTTTATTTACCGTGTTCGTCTATTTATAAATCACCTCCTTAAATGCCCACGACTACATTTACCTTTTCGCATTTTCGATTGTGCCCCATAGTTTCTCCCTGCCAGTCTCATTTTCATAAGGCTTTGTATGCAGGAACTAGCAGCACGTAACAAACTACTGGTTACATCTGCAGTTCCGGGTAAAGGTGGGCTCCGTTTGCTGAGCCTTTCTTCATTTGAGATGAACCCTCTCCTTTTCTCTCCTTTCTCTAAAAGAACTTTTGGTCTTCATTTCTTTCTTTTACCGAAGCTTTAACTAATAGTAGTAAAGTAATTAACGCTCTTTCTTCTTTCGAGTTAGTAAGGAGCGTCTTCTTCTTCGCTGCAGCCTTAACTTACTATTTGGTGGAATTTACAATACATGAACCTATTCGTTAAAAAAAAAATAATAATTGTCGAACCAAACCAAGCAAGAACTACTATTTTCAATGAATCAATTCTTAGCTCGTGTGAACTATTTTGTTTCTTTTTTTTATACCGTTGGCGGGTGAGAGAACGCCGCCCTATGTGATTTTCTCACCTACCCCTTTTTAAACATTACTGAACACTGAGAGAACAGCATTTAAATGAATTTAATTTTTTTTCTTGCAGAAAAAAATGTGTGTGTGTGAGAGAGAGAGAGAGAGAGAGAGAGAGAGAGAGAGAGAGAGAGAGAGAGAGAGAGAGAGAGAGAGAGAGATTTAAATAAAAGAGAAGGGGTATTTGGTAAACCCTGGCAAGCTTTTTCCTCCTTCATTTCATGATGTGCATTTGCGCGTGTATACGCAACCCATTTTAATGCAAATTATTAGATAATCTTCTGTTCTCTTAAATTATCTCTCCCTTCCTCTCTTTAAACAAGGAAACGCATAGACACGTGAATAGAGGGAAGGAGGAATTATCGTTTGTTACATTTTAAACTTTCATCTTCATCCGTTTTTTTCTTCCAAAATTTCTTCTCTTAAATTGCATTGCCAGTGGAATTATTTCAAGAAGCAATAAATTTGAACATTTTCTTAAAATTAACAATAAATAATAAAAAAAAAGCTTATTTTGAGAATAAAATTATTGACATTAAATTTTGTGATAGTTTTTGTTAGTTACTCTCTTCCCACTACTTGAGATACACGCAAATTATTATATATATATATATATATATATATATATATATATATATATATATAATCACACCTGTATTGGTGCTGAAAAGTTATCGTCCTGACCTACTTTACAAAATCTGACGAATGTCGCAATCTTTTTTTTAATTCCTTTCATTAGTTTATTTTTAGTCTGGTTGAGAACTTTTCATTTTTTTATTTTATTAGGCTATTAAAACGATTTTAATCTGCAGATCAAAATATGTAGGTGTGTACTTCGTTTTTATAGGCTAAAAAAAAGTTAAGGTTAGCACTTTATTTTTATTTTCTATAAAATGCCTTAGTCATCAAAAAAGTAATTTTACTTTTTGGAAAATATATAAATAAACAGCTAAATTTTATCATATTTCTGAAATATAATTGCATTTCTGTTGATAAAAAAAAATATTACTTCAATTTTTATTTTTTTCTACTGAAATTTGCACAGTAAGGAAAAAAAACGGGAAATTAATGATTTCATTCAGGAATTAAGAATTAACTGAGGAAAGCAAGTGCCTTGGAGAAGTGTTGTTTTTTTTTATATGTCTGTTCATTTTTTTCTTTAAAAACAAAAATTAAAGATTTCACTTTTTGTAAACCCTAAATTTCATAGCTAGTTAGTCGAAAATTGAAGATCAAAAGAAAGGGTAAGATGGAAGAAAAAAGTCAGAGTTTTTGGTATTATTAGCAGGTTTTTATTTTATTTTAATATTTTTCCTGTTCCATAATACGTAGGCATAAAAAAGACATTTTTCTTGGGGGTTAGAAATTATAGATTAAAAATTTGTTAATCATTTTTTATTCTTTGTTATGGGGGTGGGGCGAAATAGTATTGCTTTTTTGTGCGTGAAAAAAATTATATAAATAAAACTAAAGGGGACTTCATTGCGTGCGCGCGTGTGAGAAAGACAGACAAAGGGAGAGAGAAAGACAGACAAGAAGGGGGGAGAGAAAGAGAAAGTATTAATAGATAAAGACAGGGACGCAGCATGTGGGTTTTTAAAGTAAAAAATAATAATAATAATAATAATAATAATAATAATAATAATATTCCGTTGCACGTGCCAGTGAGTTAAGAAAGAAAGAAAGAAAGAAAGTAAGTAAAAAGATCTCACTGTAAAGTGCACGTACTCGCCTTTTTTCTTTGCCAGTGTGTGGAGAGTGACGCGCCAGTCAGGGGGAGATAATTCTGTAGTTATGGCGGCCACTTGAGAAGATGGCTCGCTTTGCATTGTCTTTAGATTCGCAGTCGCAGACTACCTCAAAGATCCTGTGAGAATCGGTAAGGCGCCAGACGGCGGTCAGCAATGACCAGGTGTTGTATTTGAGCAAGTGGGAGACCCGCCAAAATCATCTGCCGCCCCGAAAAAAGGACGGATGTCCTCGGAGCATGCCAGCTACTATTCTAGTACCCAATCAGTACCATGGCTCACATATTCCATGGATTCGAACTACTTTTATTCAAAAGGTTCCATGCAGAACCGTCTCTTTGGTACGAATGGAAGAACAAGCTACTGGAAAAAAGCCGCGACACCTCGAATGCATCGGCCCTTATCGACTTGGAGGACATTGGAGTGAGTAGATAACAAAATCATTCATTTTTGAAGGGTTGCTTCATCGCGATTTTTTTTTTTTTTTTTTTTTTTTTTTTAATTCAGGGATATCTCCGTCTAGGTATCAGAACCGGTTTTTCGTTTTCTAAATCCTTTTAGAGACTTGTCTAAAAAGTCTCTTAAAGATACTTAATCTTTTTTTTAAATTTATTTTTCTAACTTCTAAACCGTTATTCTTCTTTCATTATTTATTAAAATTTCAAAAACAAAGAACACTTATCATTAAATTATTACACACAGTATCCCTAAAAAGAAAAATTAAAAAAAAGTATATTCCTCTCTAATCCTTTGTCTAACCTTAAGTTATTTTCCCCTCTATTTCGAACCCAGAATCGATCTTTCGGACCCTAATAAACGACGAAGAGAAATTAAAATGAGTTTTTTTTTTTTTTTTTTTTTTTTTTTTTTTATATAGCGTTTTTGGTTGTCGGTGTGAAAGAAGGGATCTATGTTGATTTCATTTGGGAGGGTGTGTAGTACTGTAAACATAAATTTAAAATATGTATAAAATATAAAAAAAATAAAGTCGAATGTTCTATGTTAAGGTAGTTATTTGAAATATTGTACTTAATCTATATAAGATATTTTGAAATCGTTCACAAATTCTTTTCTTTTAACCTACCAGAAACCCGAGAGAGAGACACACACACACACACACACACACACACACACACACACACAGAGACCAATATGTAATAATAGTAGTAGTTTCCAAGTTAGGTTTTCTTTTGCCCACTACAGTTGGGAATGAAATGAGGCTTCACTATTAACTACCCTCACCCCACAAGATGGGGGGGGGGTAGCTAAATTAGCAAAATCACTTCTTTATTAAAATAAAAAAATAAATAAATGAAAAGATCTCTAAACTTTTATCACCCTCCCTTTCTAAATCAGAATTATTACCCTTTTAAAGGGGTTTTAAGAAAAGTTAGGCTATATCCCTTCATTCTCACAAATAAAAATAATACTCCCTTAAAGAAAAGAAATAAAATTTGAAACCGAAAATAAAAAAAATGTTAAGTGTGTTTTTTTTTTTGTTTTGTTTTTTTTTTCTAAAAAAAAAAAAAAATGATTTGATATTTAATTTATTGATTCATTGCGTGTTTCTTTATTAAAAAAAATTAAAGTTTTTTTTATGAATAAAAATAAGAAGTATACACGCACAAAAAAATGACTTTCGTCAGGTAAATAATCCTTTTGATTTTTTCTTTTTTCTTTAATTACCCTTCTAGTAGTAAGTCGCTGTATTTCCCCTTTCATCGGAAAAGGTCTTTTGTGTAGTCAGGAGACCGATGCGAAGGAAATATAATTTTAGAGTTAAAACTAAAAGGGGTGAAAAGGATCGGGTTAGTTACCCCCACTCCCCGCATTTTAAAAAAATATTTTAATCAACTTTTTTGTTTTATTTTTTATTTTTGAATCTTAAACAAGGAAAATAAATAAAATTAAATTTATTTTTATCTTTTTTTGTTTATTGATTTTTTTTTTTTTGTTCAAAATCAAAACTGTTTTTTTTTTTTTTTTTATTTTTATAAAAATATTTCTATTTCATTTTTTATGTCGATATAAGCTTAATTGTTAAAAAAATAAAGATAAATTAATTTTTATTTTTAAAAGTAAAACATAAGTTTCGTAAAATTATGTATACACTACAGTATCCTGTGAAGTTCTGAGTGAAATATTTCCACCTCTACAATACATTTTTCATGATTAAACTAAAAATTATAACGAATTAATTAGAGAACCAGTATTTCTTTTGTGGATTAAATTTAATTTAAATAATTAAACTACCAAACCCCTTTATGTTCTCCATTCGTTTTTAATTCCTTTTGTGTGGTAAGAAAAAAAAATTCAGCTCGCAAAGTGCCGACATCTCTGAAAACTGCTTCTGCTACTAAAAAAACAGCTGATCTTGACTATTAAACTTGACATTCTTTTTTAATATTACTATTAAATTTTATTAAATTACTTCGCTATTAAATCTGTTAGTTTTATTTTTCGATTTTAATACGATCTTTATTTCATTCTTAATTCTTCATATTATTCAAATGATCTCCGTTTTTATGCCACATGTTGGTTATACGGAAACTGAACACTTATTGAATATTAGGAACAATTGTATTAAAATTTAAAAATAAGAAAAATCTTGCTTATATTTTTTATATTCGATAAATTTTTAAATATTTTAATGATTATTTTACATAGTTTTGTTTTAATTCTAACCTTAGAACTTAATTAAACTTTAATTTTAATTATTTTTGAAAAATATTTTTACGTTGAAAGTTAAATTATGAATTAAAAAATATATATTGGTACATTTTTTAGTTTAATAATAGAATGAAGGACCGGCTGTAAAAATAAAAGGATATATTGTGTAATTTACTCCCCCCCCGGTTATAATTAAAGTTATTTTGCGGCGTATTAGCTGCACATTTTGTTTATTCCAAAATCTGGCCCTCAAAGCTACTGTACCTTACACAGTGAAGACTGAACTTTTGGGGTGGGGGGAACTTGCTTGTACAGATCTACGAATTTGTCAGTTCAGGGTAGGCTATATTTAAAATAAATGTTTTTTTATTATCCTTAATTTTATTTTTTCCAATATTTCATGTTACTTTTTTTTTGGTGTGTGTGTGGGGGGGGGGCGTTCTGTACGCTAGATACCGTTTTTTGCGTGTACAATTCACTGTAATGATCTTTATTCTTTTGTTTTACTTTTTTTAGATCTGTCGGTTACTTGTAAGTTTTTATAGATTTTATTTCGTTTTTCACTTGGATTATCATTTTATTAGAGTAAAAATACTGACGATTTTTATCTTTCCACGTATCAAGTTAGAAACAAAACGTCCATATGAGATCAATTTTTTTTTTAATTTTTTTTTTTTGTTTACCTGTTAGTTTGAAATCGAAGCTTCAACAAAGTAATTAATTCAGTGCTTGTAGACTAGAGTCTTTAAATGTCAAGTACAATTAATTGTAATAACGTACGAGAGTAAGGAGCTTGTTTTTAATTTTAATTTTTATTTATCTTTAAACGCCATTTATTTTCAATCTTGTGAAAAGATAGTGGCATCTGTAATAGTCGTATAATAAATTATAAAGAAATAGGTCAATCGTTATTGCAAAGGTTGAGGAGTTTATGCTTAGGGTACTAACATTTAAATTAATCATTAACTTAACATATTTCTCAGTGTTACTGTAGTGTTGTAGAATTTATTTTTACTTTCAATTATTTAAGTCATCAGCATGACAAGGTAGCAGTGCACCCCTGTTCAGAAATATTTGATGTTATTTCTACTTAACCAGTATAAAAAATATAGGTTTGTTGTGTCACGCACCCACATTATGCCCTGTTTCTTCAGACCGTAGGCGATAATGACTTTTCCACAATCAACTTTATCAGTGAATTGACATGCATTCTTAGGAAATATAATGAAGTGGTTTCCTTTTAGCTTCTATACAGTTTGAAATTTACTTTTCTTCTCTTTGCAGTTCAATCTACTCTATTTAACCTATAGCTGGGGGCGAAGACATTTATGAAGATATCCCCCGGCACAAAAAGCAATAAGAATGCATTTTAAATATGAAAAACCTTTCTTGAAGCTTTATTTTAGTTTTATTTCTAAACTAATAGATTATATTTAATATTTCCGATAAGCAAAATACTTTGCTGTATTTTAAAATTAATTTAAATTGATTGGATGATTTATTTATTTATTTTTTTAATTGCTAACATTGACAAATCTGTCAACTCAACATAATTTTCTTTCTTTAAAAAAACTGCCTACAGTCATCACACTAAAACACTGATTCTCACAAGATCGAGTTAAGCAATGTCAAGCCTGGTGAGTACCTAATATGAGTGATTGCTTGGGAATACCAGGTGCTGTAAACTTTGATGTGTGTGGTGTAATGGATAATGGCTTGGAATTGAAAATTGGAGAGCCAAATTCCAGTCAGGTTCTTTATATTCACTTATGTGCAAATGCCCTTGGGGAAAGTATGAATCCACCTCTTCTCCTCCCTCGCTATGGGTTAATTAGTAGGACGTCTATCAGTAAGTCATTATCTCCAAAAAATTATTACACTTTTAAAAAATATTCCTGGTTTTCAAATAACCTGCAAAATACAAATCAATCTTTCTTTTAAAAAAATCTTTTTCAAAAACAATATGCTTTTCTGAAACTTTATTTGAGAAAGATTAACTGATTTAAAATTATAAATGCATTAAAACATATCACTTTCAATTTAAAATATCATGGAAAAGCACTTTTTAAATGATGAGGTGGGTTTTTTCATAAAGTGCTGAGAGAGATTTATCAATAACTTAATGTTAGGCATTTTAAAGTAAAGGGCTCATAACTGTATAAATTATTTG